TAATAGGGTCACTTCATTTCATTTGGGAAATTAGAGACCTGGAAAAAAGGATCAAATGTTCATCTGGAAGGAAATCAGCAAGAAGGGGATCAGGCAGATGTAAAAAGCTAAGACTGGTAGTATTGTTCTTGTGACTTGAGGAAGCACAGATTGGAAGACCTACAAACTTTCAAAATAAAAGTTTTATGAACTAAAATCTTTGTGATACTACAAATTCATTTCTATAGTTTGTGAACTACAATAAGGTGGTGAGCCAGGTAAAAGAAAAATATCTCTAACATATAGATTGCATTTAAAATAGATGTTCCTTTCTAGTGAACACCTATATAATATGCCTACACTGCACATGCTGGAATAATAATGTTGTTTTTTTTTATTATTTTTTTTTTAGTACAATATTTGAGGGGTGAACAATATTTAGGAAACTAATAAGCATAAATTACTTTTGAAACATATGGGGAAATACTGAAAATGCATGAAATATACACAACATTAGTATAACAATCTAACTGGTATAAACCACCATACAGGTTTAAGACTAAGAATAAAACACATTCCTCTTTTCTTGACTTTTTTTTTTTTTTTTCCCCATGGAAAAATATGTGTTTTTGTGTTTACACTTTTGCAGAACCTTGACTAGTTTCGGGTGTCTCTATCACTGAAGCAGCCAGAGTTCAAGCAGCTGTCTAATGAAGTAAGAATGAGTGCCGTGATAGGGGATTTGCAGGCAGGACAGGAGCCTCATCTTGGTAGTCTGGAAAGAAAAGGCCTAATGAAAGGAAAAGGAATTTAATTTCAATATTACGAAGAGATGGAGCAAGGAAACAAAGGAAAAGGTCCTAATGTCTTCCTGGTAGGCTTACTAAAGTCTAATTTTGGCAAACACGTTCAGTTAGAAATCTCTCAGTAGACACACTGTCATAAACAGTTATTACTCTTAAGTTACTGGAGGGAACAGAGTGGTCTCCTCAGTCAGGGAACCCCCAGCTGTGCACATCAAAACACAAGACTGAGAGCATCTGGTCCCTAGTTCTACATGAACACAAGGACGTAACTGCCATTTAAATTGCTAGACTAGAACAACAACAACAAAAGACTAGACCTAAACCAGAAGAGGAAATAAACAGTGCACAGAAACTGAAGGTGGAAAGCTCCCTATTTTTTTTTTTTTTCCCTGGCCCTAACAACTATTTTGAAGATAAAATTTCTTAGACTTGTGAATGAGATTGAAGAGACAGAAAGGGAGGTACTTTAGTAGCAGCGATTTGAACTTAGTTCCTTCCAATTTGATCATCACAGAATTATTTAATAATCTACACTGTGAGGGACTCTGAAGGACATCTCGTTCAAACCCCTTCTCAGAGAAGGACTAACTTCAAAGTCAGGTTGCTGTGGGCCTTGTCCAGTTAAGTTTTGAACATCTCCAAGGACAGATATTTCACAGCATGTCTGGTAACCCATTCCAGTGGTTAACCACCCTTACTGTAATTTTTCCCCCTTATATCTGTTTGGAATTTCCCTTGGTGCATCCTATGACCACTGCCTCTCAACCTTTCAATGTGCACCTCTGGAAAGAGCCTGATAAGGATTAAGAGTGTGGATTGAGAGTGTAGGATCTGCAATCCTTTGTCAAGCTGGTGATTCAGTAGCAAGTTTCTAAGCAGGAGGAAAAAGAAGGCATGCACAGATCTATCTCCACCATCCTTGCTTCCAACATGTGGATGTTTAGGGAATTCTTGAGTTAGAGTCTACAACCTAGCAGCGGTGTTCAATCAGCCACAGATTTAATACTTTCTTGGATTTATTTTGGTCTCCACAAAATTCTATTGTGATAAGTGCTGTAGTTGAATTATAAATTATGAAAAAGTGCTTCACTGACTTGAAGTAAAACAAACCAAGCTCTCCCAGTTTTAGCAATATTGCTTAAATATTGTCATGGAAGTGAGTGAGACTAAGATGCATGATTCTGCTAGCTGATTTATATGACTGCAGTGGCAACAGATCTTGAAGATGTTTTAAAACTTCTCAGTGCAAGGAAACCACTGAGATAGTAAGTGTTAGCATCCTTTGAGAATTTCTCTGCATAATCAAATTTACCATCAGAACTATCCCAGTGAAGTTTTTCCACTAGACTTTTAGTGGTGTAATTTCCCATGTGAAGACATTCTAAAAAAGGCCAGGTCACCCAGGGTTTACAGCAATTTAGCTATCATAATATATTATAGATTGGCTGATAAATCTATACATGCACACGAGCATTGACTGCAAAAAGACAAAGAAAGAAGTTTGGAAATAGAGAATTTTTTTCCCCTAAAAGACAACTCCCACTGTAAAGATCAAAGGCAAATTGTAAAGCTGTTATCAACAGAAACTGTGCCAGTCTAAAACTAAAAATTAAATACTGAGGTGTTACCACTAGTCAATTTAAAATGCTGTATGCTTTCTTCTATATTCCTGCCCAAATCACTGCTGACCAGAACACTGAACCTTAAAATAGAAATCTCTATTTGTTAAAATTATGCTTTTACTCATGCTGACTTTAACTACTATGGCTGCTCGCCATTCTGTCTGATGCCACCATCCCTCCATTCCTTTCTGAGAGTTGGAGCATTGTCATAATAACCAGAGAAAGAAAAAATATCAGATTTCAGTCATAATATCATGTGTCTTACCAAATTTGCAATATTTTCTTCTATGTTCCAGAAAAATGAGTCAATACTGACTGTTCATATCTGTGTGCTGAACTGACTCTTACCTTCTTTTTTGCTTTCTCCTCTTTTTATAGGCTTTCTAATAAACACCTTTAAAACTCACTATTGTGATCCTTACCTCCACTTTTGTTTCAGTATCAAGTCATTCTATTTGTTTTACTCCCTTTGTAGTAGCAAACTGCCCTTTGTGGAAACTGAGCCTGGTTAAGAATTCCCTTTTGCTGCAAATCCAAATGGAATTCTTAGCAGTACAAGACGTCACACACCGTGCTAGGCTGTTTGCTCCCATATCTCACTCAAAGGCACAGGGCTTCATTCTGATTTACACACTTCAAATAAGATCAGAATCAGGCCAACAGTTCCTGCCAAAAGAGCACACAAACTGAAAGCTAGAGAAGATGAAACAGACTCACTCCAAGAGATTCAGAGAACAAAAGTAGCAAAAACCTTTTAAACTTTTTTTGTATTTGCAAGGAGTGATACTAGCCTGTGAGGGGTATTCACAGGGCCTGTGCAAGCAGGGGGATTTCCAGAGGTATTAGACAGGAAAGCAAACTGATGCATTAATTGGTTAAAAAATAAATTAGAATTAATTTTTTAAAATATTACTCTGCTTCAAATAATATAATTCTGTTCCTATTTCATGATGCAATTGTGCCCATGTGTTTAGAAACCTCAGAACTACTCTCTGTGCAGGGAAGTTACACTCTGAAGAAGAGCTGACCAGATAATGACTCCCTTGATTTCGTTGTCATTACTATTACATCTGTCCTTCTGACTTGTATCTTCCCCTTGGTAATTGACTATACAAGAACTAAAGCAAGAAGCATTCAAAACTTGCAGTGCAGTTTGGTTCCAAACACAGCTGTGAGATGTGTGGAGGCAGCTAGCTCCCCTCCCAACTCGCTCTTGTAAGGATGGGGAGCAAACATTTTGCAGACAGCAAGTTGGGCTCTTGCCTAGCCCTGTTGAGTCTTAAACTCAACAGCTCCCATCCTAAAGAATTCTATCCCACACCCCCAAAACCCCACCCAATAGTTTTACCGCCCTTACCCTTTGTATATTCTGTTGTAGCATATGGCCACAAAGTTGGCAAAAATGCATATTCAGGGCTTAGTCCACCCCCAGTTCATACTGTAAAGCTTATGCCCATGTTAATAGTCTATCTCAGCCAAAAGTCTGTACTTCAGGGAGGGACAGGAAAAAATAATGTTTGTGCAGGTTACACAACAATAGTAAATCAGTTCTAAGATCATAAGCTTTGTTTGATCGTAAAATATATATATAAAAAAGTAAAAGGCAGGCATCAGAGCAGGAAATGGTGCCTATAGTTACTGAAGCATGCCTGGTATTTTAGCATGGACTCAAGCTACCAAGTCTGGATGGACTGGGCACAAGCAAATCATGCATGATACAAATTAGTCTGTCAAGAGACAACACAAGCCAACTCTTCCCAAATACATGAATGCTCTAATTCAAAATTGCAGCTGGGCTAATAGTCATTGGGAAAGTCAGCATGAGTCACAGGGTTCAGTAGGCTTTAACAACTCTACATGTCACAGTGTAGACATAATCCCAGAATCTCACTGTGCAGTTCCTGGACAGCTGGAGAAAGACTTTGGAGAGAAATACGATATGCTTTCTTTCCAAAAGCCAAGGCCCTACTCCTTTGATACATCCCTCTAGGCAATGGAAAAAATCATGATCTGATCTTGGTTCACATAGTTAGAGCTATTGTAAATAAGCTGTGCAGGACAAGCAAACTCCACAGTTGGACCAGTACACATACCTCAGTACGTACCCTGGCTGCAAACGGAGAAACAACTTAGATGCGCACCATCCTAAGGAGCTGCAGGGCCTGGCTGGGATAATTGCACTACCAGAACTGAAGGGTCTGTAACAGAATTCTTGTGCTCCACAGCATGGCACAGGTTTGGTAGATTAACTAAAAAATTACAGCTAAGTTGGTTTCATGTGATGTTGCTTCTCACTCCAAAATCTGAAAATGAAAAGTGTTTCACTTTGCTTGTTTTCACCAAGAAATGAAAGTTGCATGTGTCTGTTGCAAAATAACAGGCCGTGATTTACTCCATGGCAGAACCACGGAGAATGTATACATGTAGACATTACTGTTTCCTATACCCCCAAAATGGCTTCTTTTTCCAGATGCAAAGCACATACTGCTTTCAAAGCAACATAAATTGCATGACATAAAGCATGCTGAGCTTCAAAAAAAAATGTGTTTATAAAATAAGAGATGGATGATACTCATATATTAAAAACTGATCATTAAAGTTTGTTTCTCTTTATTTCTGGTGATTGTATTCATCCTGAAGTGTTTTTGTGGTATTTGTTGAAACTGATTGCAATGCAATGCTTGCTAAGCTACAGTACATCTTTCTGTATGAACCAATTGCACATTAGTTTTTCTAATTTCCACATGCAGGACAAACATAAAATAAATAAATAATAAAAATCTCGTCTCATAGCCTTTTGTTCAGTTTCAAAATGACTCCAAATAACACAAGTCATTGATTGATCACCTTACAGTGTAACAAGGTACTGTCGTTTCATGCTGTACATATGTGGATACTGCCAGATAAGTTTAACTGCTGTTCTGCTAGCAGCTTTTTAGATGATGTACTGTCCTGTAGTCCTTGGGTTTGTTTTGGTTTGGTTTTCAAACATAGGCAGTGTTCCACTGCCAGCAGCAGGCCCCCGGGTATTTTGCCCTCAGAATGTCCTCCATCAGTTAAGATTTTGATAATCCTGCTTTACAGGGCTGAAATGTTGGATTTTTGCAAACGTGCCTGCAAAACAGCCAAGTGTTTTGGAGAGGAATCCAGAAGCATTTTATCAGGCAAAACTTCCATTGATTTCCATGGGAGTCTTGTCGGAGTAAGAACTGAGTCAAGACTTCAAGACTTGGCACATTATCAATCCCAGCAAATGACGGGCGAGAGCTGATGCCTAACGCATGTTCTAGGGAGGAAACAACTTGGCTCAGGGACCATATTTAAAACATCACATACTGTAGTTCAAGCTCTGTAAGAAGTGAGAAGAACAAAGCTTAATTTAGTCTCTAAACACCCAAGTCAGAGTTCAAATATAGTGCAAATATTCTTTACATATCTCAGCAAGTTTAGTGGTGCTCTTACTGTAAAAGGCAAGAACAATGGACAAAAAGAAGTCAGGTCTTAATGCAAGACAAACCTCACTTATACATAAATGCCTAGGGGAAGCAACACAATGCATTTATTTATCTATTTATTTTCATAAGCTATTGACAACTAGAGTCCATGTCTGCAGCATGACATTATTAGTTAAGAAACACTAACAGAATAAGAAAAGCAGTGTTTCATATAGCTTTTCTAGCTCTTCTTTTTCCTTGAATTTCTCCAAAACAGAGCCTCTTCTCTATCTTGTCTGGCTTTATCAGGGAACCTGAAATTTGTCATCTCACAACCAAAGAAAAAGGTCAAAGAAGAGAGATGAAGGGGTTTACTATACAGCTATTTCTAAGTGCTAATAACTATAATTATGAATCTGTCCAGCAGATTTCATTTGCAGTGTACCAGCGTGCCTTATAACGACAAATTTTTCAGCATATTTCATTAAAACAAATATCATTATAACTAATGGAGTAAGCTCAGGAATGGGATTTCTAACTCAGTCACCACGTCTGCTCCATCATAGGTGACACTTTCCTAATGTGCCTGATGTTGCAGATTAGTCCAAGGGCTGGTAGTTAACTAGGTGTCTGTTTGAGATGCAGCAGAACTAGAAACTGAAAAAAAAAAAAAAAAAAAAAAACCACAAAACTTTGCAGAAGTCATATTACGACCTCCCTCTCAAACTTCTTCATAGAGGATATTGCTCTGATGGAGGAGAAAGCTATAGGCCATTAAAACTCGAGTGGTGTTTGGAAATACATTGTCCTGGAGACTTAAATCTCCAACTCTTCTATGAGGACTTACCTTTCGTACCTTTCAGGGTGAATTCCACAAAGGGGTTATGTTATATCATATACCTTCAGGTAGTATAGGCAGAACACTAAAGCATGACAATTGTATGCACTAACACGGAGCAGTGTTGTGGTGTCACAAAGGCCTGTATGCACAATACCGTGAAACATATTCAGGGCATTACAGACAGAGAGAGAGGTAGACACAGCTTTCAAAGTCTTGCTGACCAGGTGCTGGCAAACGAAAACCAGGTGTTGTCTAGAGTTGTTTCTAAGCAAACCTCAAAATCTGGGTTGCACTCAAAACAGGAAAGATTTTTCTATTTTATTGGTTTGACTGACTGGCTCTTTTAGTAAGCACACTGCTTTTAGCAAAACACCTTTCTGCCTGCACAAGCACTTGGTTTTTAGTTGAAACATTTTCTCTCACTCCAAAGACTTAAATGGTGACCTTTGCAACAGACTAAAATCATATACAAACCCTTTATACAAATATTTTTTGAGAAGGAAATTGGTACTGTAATGAATTTCACAGTGTGTGAACTGGACAAACACCTCCAACACATACTAAGATGCACCTTGACCATCAAATCACACTCTTGTAAAGCAAGGGCTTGAGTTGGTGACAAACCAAGTGTGTCAGTTGAGCTTTCTCAGAACTCCTAATGGCATACAGAATTCTCACAAATTGTCTGGCTGTAACATAAAGCCTTATAATTCATACTTGTTAAACAGTTGGTTTTCCTTCTCCTTCAGTAACTAGGTACAGCCTATAGGAGAGGTGAGTCCATTGGATAATAAAAGAGGAAAATACTTTCTGTGCATGGCTAGTGTATATCCACTGAGGTCTAATGAGACTGCAAAAACTTAAGCAGCTTTCGTTATTACAATTCTGTTTGCATGACCTAAAGTGAGGCTTAAAAAATTCTTCATACTTGTAGATACTAATCTGTATGTGTTATCACTTCTTTTCCATTTACAAATGATGTAGTTACCTTTCTTTTTTCCTCCTCTGTAGATCTGGAACAAAAATCCATCTGTTTAAAAGAGTTTCCGTTTGCATGTGAAAATTGTTCTGCCTCTCAAATACACTTTTCACCATATCTTTCACAGCTTCAAGCTCAGCTGCTTTCATTCCATATGACCACACTTCTACCCTACAAGCTAAAAGTCCTGCCTCTTGTCACCCTTTGTAGAAGGCAATGGGGGAAGAGAATTAGCTAGAGGAACGTAGGCATGGAAGAGAAGCAGGCAAACTATAATGAAAGCTGTCTGGGTTAGTGAAAGGCCTTGATAAACAGAACAGTTGGAGATAACATCTACATTGTGTATCCTGGGTGGGATATTTGGTCAATGGTGACTTCCTTTTTAAGTTAAAAAATACAGAAGGCAGAGGTAAAATTATAATAAAATCTCATGTTTTGTAAAATCACGCCATACTTTTCCTGCAGCTTGTGATTTCAGAGCTCCTACAATCAGGCAGCTGGGAAGTGTACATAGGAGACTTTAGGGACTCAGAAGACACTTGGCACTCTGGCTGGCAGCTAGCATGAAGAAAACATGGATATACTCTAACATACAGCAGAGTGTGTCAGCACTAATTGTGGAAAAAAAAAAAGAAAAGAAAAAGATAATAACCATGATTTCTGCACTGTTAGGATTGCTACCTTGTTGCTATATGTAATCAGTATTCATTCATATACTGAAGATGCTGAACTTGAGATCAAGATAATTCATTTGTAATGATTGAAACATTTAATTTTCCTTGATTTCAGTTGGAAATTTCAGGTTTAGCTATATTGGGGTCTAAATATTTGTCTTTCTAAGCCACGCATTATAGCCATCACAATTCAGACAGTACAGATTCAAGCAGTACTGCAGAAAAATGTCTCCATTCAAACAGAGCTTTGGCTAAGTGGTAGCTCTCTATTCTTTCAACCCTTCCCTGTCTCATTAATCTTGCAAGAATGTAGCCACATCCTGCAGAGACTTATTCACATACATAGTCCTCATGTTCCAGGGAATAAATGCTCTCAAGAACATGCTCCTAGCCCTAGGAGCGCTATATGCCAACATCGCCTTAAAAATACTTGAAATTCTCCAGTAACTAGACAGTTGAATGTCTGTGCGTCTTGAAATGATGTGAATTGCAAAGAACAAAACAAGAATAGACCTGTCAAAAGAGGAATAAATAAAAGTGCAAACATTAAAGTTTCTACAGGCATTATTAACTCTGACTCCCTGTATATCATGTGATATGTAATTTGGAAACATGCATAAAGATAAATGCTTTTTCTTCTGATTTTCTTATTAAAAATAGAGCAGCCTATTGAGTACATGGTGATAAATGTGCTACTGGAATTTCTTGTCTGTAAGGGAAAGAACTTCTCTGAAATTTAAATATATCTTAAAGAGATGTGCACTTTCATAATAGCTACGTTAAGGGATGTTCCCTACCTCTTGCTGCTGCCACCATCTTTTAGGTCCAACAGCTTGTTACTGAAACATCTCCTTCAAACTTTGCTACTTCCTTTTCTCATTTTTCAGTTAGTTCTACAGCAGTCCAAAATAGGGAGTCTTACCCCATGTGTTTCTTAAGGACACCAGGCCATTCTGTAGAACAGAACTCGTTCTGTGCAATAAGAATTTTATTAACATTTCTGTATGAGAGGCCACAGCCACACATCTTCAGTTTTAGCAGAGCAAGGCAGCCATGCTTGCAGATATTAGCACACCTGCTGAAATAATGGATCTCAATCGCTGATTATGAGAAGCCAGGGGAGCGGCACAGAACACTGCGTTCTGTCCATATGCCAGCCATTAGATGTTGAGGGCTAAAACCAGATGACTGCATCTCTGCAGCAAGCAAAGGCATCAGATCCCATGCCTGCAGGCTGAGTCTTTTATTTTATTTTATTTTATGATACAGGAAAAAAAAAAAAAAAGTCTTTCTCTGGCAGTAATACAATTAACAGGAAACAAGGACCAACAGTAACACAGCACACGATGCCAGGACTGCTGATCCTCCTCCAACTTCTGAATCCATTTAGCACGTCCCAGAAGGCCCCGCGCAGATGAAACTCTTTGATATGTTTTTAACCTCTCTGAGAGCTGCACAGGTGCAGCCCATTTGGAAAGCAGGCAGCTCCCATTTTTCCACCAGGGGCAATGTTACTTTGAAATCATTCCATGAAGTCATTAGACTTGAGTTTGTTGTTATTGTTTTTAAAAGACATAATTTATTCATTTTCTGCTTTCAATAGCTTAAGAACTGCAGCGAATTAAAAAGCCATCTCTGAAACCCATTAAGGTGATTCACCAAGATCCAGTCTGCTTTGTTAAACAAATTGACTTAAGTCACTGTATTTATTACTAAAAGCAAAATAAGATAAAGCAAAACAAAAATCCCACACACTCAGCCTACATGCTCTTTTCAAATCCTATGTCTGGAGATTAATCAAACCTCTCTGTTAAGCTGACTTGAGGAAATAGGAAGTGAAATAACTCACTAGTATATAAACACATTTTAGGGCAGTTTTAAGAAATTGGAAAATCTTGACAATGTAAAATCAAAAATTATTACAATTGTAGGCTCATGGTTTGTTTGAAAAAACTTCATATGGTTGCACAATCATCAAATCTGTTTTCTGACATAAGAGAATCAGTATGTCTGTTGTCTGACAGTCTTCTTTTAAATCTAGATACTGATTTTCTTCATAGATAAAATACTGAACACAAGCATACCTCTTATAAGTATGAAATAAATAAAGCTAAATATCTATTTGTTTGTTCGTCTGCAGGTATTTTGCTGAATACATAATTCACTCAATGAATCTATAGATATTACATCCAAAATAGACTGTTATGATCATTGTATTTGATCTCCTGGGTGACCTAGGTGAAACAACCTCAACCGTTAATTTTTGCATCAAAACCATCATTTTCATTTGATCTACAGAACCTCCTTGAAAAAGATACCCACTCTTAATACAAAGACTTCAAGTGATGGAGAAACCAACATGTCCCTAGGTAGATTGTTCCTATGGTTAATTTACCCTTCCTGTTAAAAATGGTCACGTTA